TACTCCACGAGATATTAAATTGGGCATTGAAGATCTTGAAAAAAAGAAAAAGAATATAGTAATTAGAGGTGCTGATAAAGGGGGAAGTATTGTTGTTTTAAATAAAGGTGATTATGAAGAAGAAATTAAGAGATTATTACAAATTAAAGATACATATAAAATATTAACAGGAAACCCCACCAAGAAACTTAAATTACAACTTAAACGTATTATTAATAAAGGAAAAGATTTGGGTGTGTTAACTGATAAAGAAGCAAAATATCTTTTGATAAAAAATCCCAAAATACCTACTATTTATTATTTATACACAAAAATAAAGAGAAACCACCTGGGAGGCCAATCGTAAGTGGAATCAATTCTCTGTTTGCAAGGGTGGGTGAATATGGTAATTCATTTTTACAAGCTATTGTTATGACCAACAAGGCATTTTATCGGAGTGGCCCAGTCAGAGTCCTGACCTCAACCCGATTGAAATGCTGTGGCATGACCTTAAGAGAGCGATTCAAACCAGACATCCCAAGAATATTGCTACACTGAAACAGTTTTGTGAAGAGGAGTGGTCCAAAATTACTCCAGATCGTTGTGCAGGTCTGATCTGCAACTACAGGAAACGTTTGGTTAAGGTTATTTCTGTCAAAGGAGGGTCAACCTGTTATCAAGTCCAAAGGTTCACATACTTTTTCCTCCCTGCACTGTGAATGTTTACATGTTATGTGCAATTAAACCATGGCAACATCTAATGTTTGTGTAGTATTATGTTTAGCAGACTGTGTTCTTCTATTGTTGTGACTTACAGTTGCAAGAAAAAGTATGTGAACCCCTTGGGATTACGTGGAGTTTTGCATGAATTGGGCATAAAATGTGCTCTGAACGTCATCTAAGTCACAACAATAGAAGAACACAGTCTGCCCAACATAATACTGCACAAACATTAGATGTTGCCATGGTTTAATTGCACATAACATGTAAACATTCACAGTTCAGGGAGGAAAAAGTATGTGAGGCCCTAGCTTAATGACTTCTCCCAGAGCTAATTGGAGCCAGGAGTGAGCCAACCTTGACTCCAATCAGTGTGATGATATTAGATGTGTTGCTGACAGCTGTCCTGCCCTTAAAAAACACACACCTGTTTTGGGTTTACTGGTTTCAAGAAGCACTGTCTGATGTGAACCATGCCTCGCAGAAAAGAGCTCTCAGAAGACCTGCGATCAAGAATTGTTGACTTGCATGAAGCTGGAAAGGGTTACAAAAGTATCTCCAAAAGCCTTGATGTTCATGTGTCCACGGTAAGACAGACTGTCTACAAATGGAGAAAGTTTAGCACTGTTACTACTCTCCCTAGGAGGGGTCGTCCTGTAAAAATGACTGCAAGAGCACAGCGCAGAATGCTGCATGAGGTAAAGAAGAATCCCAGAGTGTCAGCTAAAGACCTACAGAAATCTCTGGCACATGCTAACATTTTTGTTGACACATCTACAATAAGGAAAACATTAAACAAGAATGGAGTACATGGGAGGACACCACGGAGGAAGCCATTGCTGTCCAAAAAGAATATTGCAGCACGTTTGAAGTTCGCAAAAGAGCACCTGGATGTTCCACAGCACTACTGGCAAAATATACTGTGGACAGATGAAACCAAGATTGAGTTGTTTGGGAAGAACACACAACACTATGTGTGGAGAAAAAAAGGCACAGCACACGAACATCAAAACCTCATCCCCACTGTAAAACATGGCGGAGGGAGCATCATGGTTTGGGGCTGCTTTGCTGCCTCAGGGCCTGGACGGATTGTTGTCATTGATGGGAAAATGAATTCCAGAGTTTATCAAGACATTTTGCAGGAAAACGTATGACCATCTGTCCGCCAACTGAAGCTCCGCAGAGGATGGGTGATGCAACAGGACAATGACCCAAAGCATACAAGTAATTCAACAAAACAATGGCTGCAACAGCACAGAATACGCCTTCTGGAGTGGCCCAGTCAGAGTCCTGACCTCAACCCGATTGAAATGCTGTGGCATGACCTTAAGAGAGCGATTCACACCAGACATCCCAAGAATATTGCTACACTGAAACAGTTTTGTGAAGAGGAGTGGTCCAAAATTACTCCAGATCGTTGTGCAGGTCTGATCTGCAACTACAGGGAACGTTTGGTTGAGGTTATTGGTGCCAAAGGAGGGTCAACCAGTTATTAAGTCCAAAGGTTCACATACTTTTTCCTCCCTGCACTGTGAATTTTTACATGTTATGTGCAATTAAACCATGGCAACATCTAATGTTTGTGTAGTATTATGTTGGGCAGACTGTGTTCTTCTATTGTTGTGACTTAGATGACGTTCAGAGCACATTTTATGTCCAATTCATGCAAAACTCCACGTAATCCCAAGGGGTTCACATACTTTTTCTTGCAACTGTAGATGACGCTCAGAGCACATTTTATGCCCAATTCATGCAAAACTCCACGTAATCCCAAGGGGTTCACATACTTTTTCTTGCAACTGTAAATTCTTTACAACCTTATGGGTTGAACATTGATATTGATTTGAATTGTTTTCTCACAAATTTGTGATATGTTTTTATATGTATATTTTATTTCTGAGCGTGATTTTTTGATTGTTTAGACATCAACTGGTTATATGATTTATTTCAATGTTTTATATTAAAAATTAAATTAATTAAAATTTATTTTGAAGGGTTAGAGTCCTCCTTTAGATCTGGACTGGCCCTTTAAATCACTGCGGTGATATATTGACATGTTTTTTGATAGGGTAGAGTTACTCTTATTTGGACTGACCCTTTAAGACTATCATAATACTTTAACATTTTTTTAGGTTTATATATTTTATTTTTTATGTTGTTATTCCCTTAGCCTCTTGATGTCTATGAGATCTTATTTGTGATGCAGTTTTGTATATATGGCCATCTGTCATCAGCGAGTCGGGTTTGCTTTCACATTGATGACAGCTGACTGTTCCTAATGCAGTGCATATTTAATGAAGCTGCGACGTCTCACATCCATCCGCTCCGTGAGGACGTCAATGGCGAAACGCGTAGGGTGGGGCTTAGATTGATGTGACGTCATTACGTTTCCCAGCAATCGACTGCGTGTGTGCCGATTGTCTGGGTTCGTTCATTGTGTTTCTTACATGCTGTTAAAACTGGTGTCGGCTGGGACACCTTTTGAGTTAAGTGCGATGAGTGCATAATAAATGAAGTTGTTTTAAAAGTACTGCACTATGAAGTTGTTGTTGTTTTTTTCCGAGTGTCTGGCATAACACCCTTTGGATATGAATACCATGAAGTCTTGGAGAAGTGGATTTCCTTAGTGGTATATTTGATCACAGATCATTGCTTCTTTCACATTAGTTTGTTTGGAGCCGGTTTCTGCAGAATATCATTCCCTGAAGATCTATCCATGAGTGGCTTATTACCCTGCTAACCATCGCCCCCAGAGCAATATATGCTTCAGTTTCTTTTAGCTCTGGTGAGTTCATTTAGTACTTTTGGTGGTGGACACATTTTTTGCATCTTTTTTTGGACTTGATTTTTACACATTCCATTTGGACTTTTTTTGGACACTTATGTATTTATATATATATATATATATATTTATTTATGTTCACAGTCACATTTGTTTTTTTTGGGGTATTAATTTACTTACTAGCGCAAATTAATATTTTTGTTTTTTGTTACACACTTTACTAGTATATGGTGGATTTTGCAGCTGGTATATTAGATAGTGATCCATTCATACCCTTTTCATAGGCGCCATTATATTCATTTATTATGTTTCTGAGTTATTATTATTATGCAGTATTTATAAAGCGCCAATAGTTCGCTCAGCGCTGTACTTTACAAAGGGGGACAGAACATGTGACAGAACAATAACAATACAATGCAAAACATGAGGGGTTTGAGGGCCCTGCTCTTTCGAGCTTACAATCTAGGAGTTGGCTGCTCTTTTTTTGTAGTTAGCCTTTTCCTTGTTTTGAAGGTTTTTTTAGACCAAGACTTAAGACGATGTCCTTTTTCTACCTCAGTGAAGATATTGTTCCTTCCCTTTTTGTCCTGCCAAAAAAAAATGACAAGGAAATTGTCCTATAATTCCTGGACATGGTCTGAGTTGTCAGGGACAGCAGGACCCAGCCCCTCCTTGTTCTACATGTGGTCATGAGAGTTAAGGACATCCTGCGTCCTGCTCTACCAGTGCCAGGTGGATCAGTCAACACTGCTCCAGGGCCTACACACCCCCTAACCACAGATTTCCCTTTTTCCCCAAATTCTGCCATGTACAGGATGTTCAGGCCTTGGATGATGAGAGCTTTGGCCGCAAAGTGTTTTAAGCTGTTACTTGTGTTTTTTTTTTTTGTTTTTTTTTTCGGGTTTATTAACTCTTGTTGGCAGTTTTCTGTTTGCTATGTTGCCCACCCCTGAATTAATTGCTTTGGTATGTCCCATGGCCTATGAATACAGATACTGTGCGATAAAAATAAAAGGAGTTTTGACTTGCATGTAAATTCTTATCTTGTAGTACAGGCCCCTCTACTCTCTGTCCCGAATACTCCTTATTTCTTGCTAAAAACTGGAGTCTGACTGAGTTGGCTCTAGAGGCAGCCTAGAGACTGAGTTGGCTCTAGAGGCAGCCCTATCAAGTTTTTTGCCAGTGTCCAGTCATCTAGGTCTTGATTTAAGCTATGGTCTATGAATTCAAGTCATGTGTCCTGTACTGTACCACAAGACAAGGAATTTACAGGTAAGTCAATATTAATTTTTTTTTCTTTGAAAGACCCTATCCTCAGTCCACAAAACTTTAACGTGGATTAGAATCTTAATTTTATCATGCAACTGTAATTTTTAAATCCAATTCAACTCTGATGAAAAAACTTTTACTTCCATGTTACATTGAAATAGCTGATTTTCCAAATCTGTAAAAATGTTTTCAAATTGTTGCAACTCATACATTCTCATAAAATACTTGTTACATTGTCTCTTTGCCATAGGCTAAAAGTCAGTTCAAAAGGAGATCCACTGCCAACAATGTGGAGATTCACATTCCAGTTCCAAATGATGCTGATTCTCCCAAGTTCAAGACTACAGTTGGGAGTGTGAAGTGGGTTCCAGAAAACAGCGAGATAGTTTGGTCTATAAAGTCTTTCCCAGTAAGATAAATTGCCTTTCAATTGTGATTGCACTTTAAATCCAGTTAACCACTTGCCTACCAGGCACTTATACCCCCTTCCTTACCAGGCCAATTTTTCAGCTTTCAGCGCTGCCGCACTTTGATTGACAATTGCGCCGTCATGCAACATTGTACCCATATGAAATTTTGATCATTTTTTTCTCACAAATAGAGCTTTCTTTTGGTGGTATTTAATCGCCACTGGGCGCTTTACTTTTTGCGCTATAAATTAAAAAAAGTGCAAAAAATTTGAAAAAAAAGAAAAAGTTTATTTGTTTCTTTTATAAAATTTTTCAAACAGGTATTTTTTTCTTCTTCACTGATTTGCGTTGATGAGGCGGCACTGATGGGCACTGATAGGCGGCACTGATAGGCAGCACTAAAGGGCACTGATAGGCAGTACTAATGAGGTGGCACGGATAGGCGGCACTGATAGACAGCACTAATTAGGGGTCACGGATAGGCGGCACTGATATGCAGCACTGATAGGCGGCACTGATAGGTGACACTGATGATGGGTACTGATAGACGGCACTGACTGGCATCACTTCTGGGCACTGACTGGCGGCACTGACTGGCACAACCCCTGGGCACTGACTGGTGGCACTGACTGGCAGCACTGCTGGGCTGCACTGGTGGGCGGCACTGGTGGGCACCACTGGTGGGTGGGCACAGGTGGGTGGCACTGGTGGGCACAGGTGGGTGGCACTGGTGGGCACAGGTGGGTGGGCACAGGTGGGTGGCACTGCTGGCACATGTAGGTGGCACTTCTGGGCACAGGTAGGTGGCACTGCAGAGTGGCACAGGTGGGGGCACTGCTGGGCACAGGTGGGGGCACTGCTGGGCACAGGTGGGGGCACTGCTGGGCACAGGTGGGCGGGGCTAGTGGGCGCACTGCTGGGAGGAACTTGCGGGGGTCACTGCTGGGCACCGATCATCAGGGCACTGATCATCAGTGCCCTGATGATCGGTGCCGATCCCCGCTCTGACAACTGCCGGTTCTCGGCAGTACTTTCCTCACGATCTGACAGCGTGAGGAAAGTGCAGCCGAGAACCGGCACTTGCATTTTCCTGTGATCAGCGTGTCATTGGACACCGCTGATCACGTGGTAAAAGGCCGGTGGGATCGGCCTTTCACCACATCTCGTGATCAGCTGTGTCCGTAGGGGGGGATGGTAGGTTGGGATTGTCTCACAAGGGTGTATGTAGGGGGGGGGGGGGGGGGGGGATGGTTGGTTGGGATTGTCTCACAAGGGTGTATGTGTAGAAAAGGTCAGAGGAGCACAATATTTTCTTTTGGCATTGTTCCATACCAAAAGGGTTGTTCTCATTGGACTAGGGTAGGTTTTCTATAGTTTGTTTATGACTCACAAGATGACAGATTGCAAACATCTGATTTAGGCTAAATGTATTCTTTTTAGTTTAGGGCAAAACCGGTGCATTGACATTTAAAAAGTTACTTCACAAAGAAAGATGCTGTCTGAGAATAATGCTTGCCCTGATTTCTGAAAACTGGAAGAAAAATGGAGAATATGTTCATTATCCGCTAAGGGTAGGAGCTCCAGATTTTTCTGCTTCAGTTTTTTAAATTGGCCTGACAGGAATGCCATAGGCTACATCTAGTATGTGGAAGCACAGCACATATGGTGCGCAGTAGCTGCTGGGTTCAAACCGACTTTTCCAGTAAGCACCTACTTTGTTTCATCCAATTACATGGTATATTTGTTTATGACCATATACAGTGCTCCTCTTTTGAAAAGTAAGATTTTAATCAATATCTCAATGAACACAAGAACAATTTCCAAAATTTTGACAAAACTGAGTTTTATAGAACATTTGTTTAGCTCATTACATGAAAGTAAGGTTAATTGTATAACTTGGATTACAAAATCTTCTGTTTTACTCAAATTCGTTGATGCAAAAATGAATACATCCCACAACAAAGACTACTACATCTTGTATTTTGTATGACCTCCTTGATTTGTAAGGACAGCACCAAGTCATGGAATGAACAAGTTGTCGACATATTGCAGCATCTTTCTTTTTTCATTATTCAAGAACGATCTCTTTTAGAGCCTGAATGCTGGATGGAAAGTGACGCTCAACTTGTGTCTTCAGAATTCCCCATAGGTGTTCGATTGGGTTCAGATCAGGGGAGACACTTGGCTACTGAATCACTGTTCCTCAGAAATGCAACTGTGGCCTTAGATGTGTGTTGTGGATCATTGTCATGTTGGAATAGTGCAGGACGACCAAGGACACAGAGTGATAGTAACATCTTCTCTTTCAATATAAAGAAGTACATCTGTGAATTCATGATATCATCAATGAAATGCAGCTCCCCAACACCAGCAGAACTCATGCAGCCCCACAGAAGGACACTGCCACCACCATGTTTTATTGTAGGCATTTTCTCTTTGTACTCCTCACCTTTGCCAAACCATGCAGTTCTGAAGCCATCAGTTCCAAAAACATTTATCTTGTCTCATCACTCCAGAGTACAGAGTCCCAGCAGCTATCTTCTTTTTCATCATGGGCCCTGGCAAATTCTAGGCTGGCTTTATTTGTGCATGGGCTTTAGGAGAGGCTTCCTTTGTGGACGACATGCATACCTTTCTTCTTCAGTGTACACCGTATTGTGTCATGGGAAGTAATCACCCCAGTTTGCCTTTCTACTTTAGCTAACTTCAGTGAACTTGCATGGTGATTTTCTTCAACCCATCTCATCAGAAGACGCTCCTGTTGAGTTGTTAATCTCCATGGACAGTCCGGATGCCTCTGTGAGATGGTTGTTAAATTTTAGTATCAATTTTGCTACACTATTCTGACTGATAAGTAAAGCTTTGCTGATCTTTTGTAACCTTCACCTTTCTTGTGAAAAGAAATGTTCTTTCTCAGGCCTTGTGACATTTCTCTTCCATGTGGTGCCATTGCTGACAGCATGAAATGGAAAGGGGTTTTCTTTAAGTAACGCCCTTTTATGATCAGCTGTGTGCTGGACACCTGTTTAATGAATAATTAGACTCACCTGTAATTGAATTCTTAATTAGGATTTTGTTGTCTAAAATTTAGCTTTGCTCCTAAGGCTTTCATTGGTGTGTGTTAATTTTTGGAACATGGTCTTGAATGAATTTGTTAGGAAAAATACTTTTTTGTATGTGCAAATTAATAAATCTTGTTTGCAATCAATGGCCTGCATTTGTGGGAGTATTTTGTAGTAAAGCATCCCTTAGAAAATGTTGATTCTGAAAGGAAAGTAAATGTTTTCTGACAAATCTGTTGTGGTGTACTCATTTATGCTGAGCACTGTACATATATCTCTTTTGCAGGGTGGAAAGGAATATCTAATGAGAGCACACTTTGGCCTCCCTAGTGTTGAAGCAGAGGACAAAGAGGGAAAACCCCCCCATAAGTGTCAAGTTTGAGATCCCTTATTTTACTACTTCTGGAATCCAGGTATGCATAAGCTGCTTATCCATTTTGTGTGTGTTTTTTTTTTTTTTCCGTAAAACCCTGGTGCCAAAAACTGGGCTGCAAGCTATTGGGCAGCAGTTTGGAAGCAGAGTAGCAGCGGACTGCTGGGCGCTAGAACGCTATCTGTGTTCCAGCACCCAACACTGAAAAAAAAGACTGTACTGAAGGTGGAATTATCTCTATCCACAGTACAAGTAAAGCTCTGGCCTGGGAAGAGAGAGAGCGGCACAGGACTGTGTGATCAGGTGAGTGATCACCAATGGGGGGGGGGGGGGGGGGGGGAGAGATGTTAACCACCAATATGGGGGATCAACTTCCACTGCCAGGACACCAATGTGGGGTGAGGAATCGAGGGTTAACTTTCACTGCTGGGGTGGAGGTATAGGGGCAATCCCAATACACTACTACTAACCACCAGTGCAAGTGGGGTTAAATTTAACTGCCAGCACCCACCAGTGTGTGTGGGGTTAATAGTACTGACAGCAATGTTGGGGGCTGTTATTGCATCTACTGACACAAATAACGGAGCTTTTTTTGCATCCGCTAACACCAATTTTGGGGCTTAGTTATTGCTTCCACTGCGAGTCATAGTTGTATGCACTGACATAAATAGTGGAAGTTATTATTGTGTCCATTGACACCAATACTGGGGGTTGATATTGCACTCACTGACACTAATGCTGGGGGTTATTACTACCACTGACACCAATACTGGGGTTATTGTACTCCAACTTCTTCAGTGTGCAGCAGGGCTGAAGTTTTTGGGCATTGAGTTGTGTTATAGCCTATTCATTTTGAATGGGCTGCCTAACTTGACACAGTGCACCTCAGTGAAACAAAATGCGCCCCTATTGTGCGGTCCTTTGCAAGTGTTGGGGACTGCACTTGAGGCCCTCTATATTTTCAGGTTGACCACAACTGCAGTAAAACTTTATTGAATGTTTTCAAAATAGACAAAAAAAAAAAAATATTTCCACAGAGTTGTCAAGTAAGTGTGCATTACAGTATACAGCAGTGATTTCATTTCAGTACTTATTGTTTAGTTTCCTACAAGGTTTTTCATAACATTATAGCAAATAAACAAGGGGGTAGGAGGAAGCTGAAGGCGCTTGATCTCACTATATGTACAAAGGTGTCATGCTGTGGGGTGGGGGGGCTGCTTATCCATTTTAGTTATTTCTGTTGTACAATAATTTTTAAGCAATCTTTTAACCCATTTCCACAGGTTCGTTACTTGAAAATAATTGAGAAGAGTGGTTACCAAGCATTGCCATGGGTGCGATATATAACCCAAAATGGAGGTAACGTGATATGTTCAGTGGGCACAGAAATATAGCTTGACGGCTTTAGATCATTTACATTGGAATCCAGATATGCATAAGCTGCTTGTACAGCTTAAATAATTCCGTTTCTGAATACAATGCTCAGTTCATTGGGCTATAATGACCCTTTAACTTATTTGCCTCCACAACTAGTATTTTCTGCAGTGGCAGTTAAGGCCCCTTAGACACAGCTGCAGTGTGTTCCTCCCGCTGCTTTAGTGCCCTCAGGAGGGACAGATTCCATCTCCAGCCCCATTGTAGGCAGGCTGTCAGAATCTGTTGCAGGCTGCTGGACGGGACTGAGCACTGTACCGTGCGATATTGTTGTTCATGACAGGCTGCCTGTGGTGGGGCTGGACACTGCACCTGTCCCTCTTGCATGCACTAAAGCACCGAGGGACACACTGTAGCTAAATGGCCCAGTGTGTAAGAGGCCTAATGAAAGTTAAAAACAGAAGTCACATAGCTGAAAATAACTATAAATAAAGTTATAAAGACCAACACGTTATAGCTTTTGCAAGGGAGTCTAAATGGTGAGTTTTTTTTTCCCCACTTCTCCATAGTATTTTAAACTTCTATTCAAGTGGTTTAGGAATTCATTTAAGAAGTAAACTGGAGCTTTCCTACTTGTGCGAGACAAGACACATTCATGTTGCTTATTTAGCAGGCAACATGAACTTACAATGATTCCATGTGAGGACAAGCCATTCATTCTGTTGATCCTGTGTTTTTAGGTTTTCACAAACCCCTTCCCAACCTAGTATTTTCTTTTCACACTACTGGTGGTAAGACGTCTGCTGTCTGAGTTTGAGGGGTATTCTTTATTTTTTTAACATACATCCCAGGACACAGGTTATCTTTATATCCATTACAAAAGGGTTATGCTTCCATCTTCAGGTGACTGGACATTGGCAAAAAAAAACCAGGAAAATCCCCTCTAGACATGACCCCTCCCAGGTAATCTGGTAGTCATCGCTTCAGTTTTCTTCTAGTGTGATTGTCATGCCTGTGTCTGCACTAAATACTAATTTTTTTTTAAATTAGCTTTTTCACAAGTCATCCCATTGGAAAACAGGACACTAGTTAATCTGGATCTGTTGCGTACGGGGTATTGCCAAAGGGAATGGTACCTACAACCCGCGTTTAACACACGGAGCCAACCTGTGATGGGATCTTTTAACAGTGGGCCCTGCATGTGGGACTCTGTACAGTTATATAGTATATCATTTTGAGGACTGGCAGGGTGTACAGTTATATAGTATATCATTTTGAGGACAGGGTGCTTTTCAAGTCCAGAGCAATGATCCCCAGTCAGGGAGTCATGTCTCTAAGGCCTGTCGAGGTGGCTGAAGTTTGGGCAAACTGGTGCCATGCAGCATGAAGTGAGTGACCTGGTAGTGGGTACCTTGGATGGGTGGGAAGGAAAGTTTTCTCGGTTTACTTGCTCCCCTTGTCTCCCTTGATTCCTGATTTTGCTTTTGTTTGTGTGATGCCCCTTGTTACTGTACTTTTACATGTGTACTCTGTCCTGGCTGCTCTGAGTGCTACAGGGTAGTAGAGATGGTACGAGGCAGACTGGGAAGTTTCTGGTGCCAATGTGAAGGGGGTCATCCCACTATGCCTCGGTGTGCAGGTATGGTCTTGACTGGTGAGTTCAGGAAGGGTTTATCACCAGCCGCCATCTTAGAGCTTCTAAGCCTAGAACCCAGGGTTTTTATCAGTTACAACATATGGGCACAGCAAGTACCAAGATTGTGTTTGCAGATATAATTTCTGGCACTTGTTTCTCTTGGCTTTCTCTGGACTGTTTTTTAAAGGTGGTGTACTGCTGGCAGGCAATGTTTCAGTGACTGCAAAGAGTGGGAGAAAATTGCATGAATGGATTCCAAAAACCACTATCAGGAAGAGAGGACTCGAGCTGTAGCTCCCCTTGCCATATCTCCCCTGTTGTTTGATCTCTCCACTATCTCTGGGTTGCTTTCTTCCTGCTCCTTTGTGTCTTTTGAGGTATTCTCCACTGCTACTGGTTTACTGTAGCAGTTTTCCAGAATCCTTTCTGGTTTAGACTGCTTTGGCTGCAAGTGAAAATGCTTCACTTCCCCTTCCCTTTGTTGATGGAGGAGGAACCACCATAGGAAGCAACTTTTTCTGGAAGAACCTACTCTGGAATCTTAGGGTCTGGCTCTCCTTCAGACTTGCAAGGCTTTTGTGTTTTTCTTTTTTTGGCAGAAGTGGCAAGGACCAGTTTAAAAATGCTTCTTGGGACTTCTGGGGGAGTGGACTGTTCACCCTGAGGTCTTCAAGAAACTGTGCCAGAGGTGGGAGGCACTTTGGACGTGGATCTTCTGGCATCCAGGTTCAGCGCGAAGCTGGACAGGTTTGTATCCAGGAACAGGGACCCCTGCATGTTCAAAGTGGATGCACTAACAAGTGAATCAATATATATATGTTGCACGTTTACTGGTGTGTTTGGGGTCGTTGTCTTGTTGGAACACCCATTTCAAGGGCATTTCCTTTTCAGCATAAGGCAGCATGACCTCTTCAAGTATTCTGATGTATTCAAACTGATCCATGATCCCTGGTATGCGATAAATAGGCCCAACACCGTAGTATGAGAAACATCCCCATATCATGATGCTTGCGCAACCATGCTTCACTGTCTTCACAGTGTACTGTGGCTTGAACTCAGTGTTTGGGGGTCGTCTGACAAACTGTCTCCGGCCACTAGACCCAAAAAGAATAATCTTACTTTCATCAGTCCACAAAATGTTGCGCCATTTCTCTTTAGGCCATTTGCTCTTTGGCAAATTGTACCCTCTTCAGCACATGTCTTTTTTTCAACAGTGAGACTTTGCGAGGGATTCTTGCAGATAGCTTGGCTTCACATAGGTGTCTTCTAATTGTAACAGTACTCACAGGTAACTTTAGACCTTCTTTGATCTTCCTGGAGCTGATTGTTGGCTGAGTCCTTGCCATTTTGGCTATTGTTCTATCCATTCGAAATGGTAGTTTTTCGCTTTCTTCCACGTCTTTCAGGTTTTGGTTGCCATTTTAAAGCATTTGCAATCATTTTTGCTGAGCAGCCTATGATTTTCTGCACTTCTTTATATGTTTTCCCCTCTCCAATCAACTTTTTAATCAAGGTTCACTGTTCTTCTGAACAATGTCTGGAACGACCCATTTTCCTCAGAATTTCAGAGAAAAATGCACTGTAACCACCATGTACAACATTTGCTGCCTGCCTTCCTTAAATAAGGGCAATAATTGCCACCTGTTTTTCAAAGAATGAATGACCTCACTAATAGAACTCCACACTGCTATTATTTTGAACATGCCCCTTTCAATTAGTGATTCAATTACACAGAATCAGCAGCATGCATGTCATGACTGTTGGGTCTGTTGTATTCTATTACTCTACGACACCTGCTAGTAAATTGTTTGCCATGTAGAAATATAATTTCTACCAAAAACAGTGATTGATCAGGATCATACATATGTGTGTGTGTGTGTATATATATATATATATATATATATATATATATATGTAATGTATGTGTGTGTATGTAATGTATGTGTGTGTATGTAATGTATGTGTGTGTATGTAATGTATGTGTGTGTATGTAATGTATGTGTGTGTGTTCACCTGATTTGGATGTGAATACCCTCAAATTACAGCGGACAGTCTGCCGTTAAAGCACATCTTGTTCGTTTAATTTCAAATCCATTGTGGTGGTGTATAGAGCCAAAAATGTTAGAATTGTGTCGATGTCCCAATATTTATGGACCTGACTGTGTATATATATATATATATAATGTGTGTGTGTATGTATATATATATGTGTGTGTGTGTATATATATATATATATATATATATATATATATATATATTTTGTATGTTCTCCCTGTGCTTGCGTGGGTTTCCTCCGGGTACTCCGGTTTCCTCCCACACTCCAAAGACATGCTGGTAGGTTAATTGGATCCTGTCTAAATTGGCCCTAATATGAATGTGAGTTAGGGACCTTAGATTGTACACCCCTTGAGGGTTAGGGACTGAGGTGAAGGTTCAATATATATATATATATATGTGTAAAGTGCTGCGTAAACTGACAGCGCTATTTAAGTACCTGAAATAAGTAAATACGCATTCACACACACGCCTGTGATTATACTCATGCTTGAGAACCTTTTATATAGGACATATTTATTGTATTCCAACTTAATATATTGCTTTAAAAATTAAATATTGTGTGAGGTTAGCTCCACTGGATCATAAGAGGATATTTAGTCAGCATGACAAAGTTCAATTCTTTTACCATTATAGAGCTGCTGATTTGGTTAAAAAGTATGTATGCATACAAAATTACGTGATGCGTTTTGTACATAATTGTTGAATGATCACAATTGGGGGGTGTTGCTGATTTGTATTTAATGTGTGTCTTAGAAACCTGATGTTTCCCTGGGATGATTCCTTTTGTAAACTACAGCTGTATGTGATTTGGTTGCAGTAAAGATCTCCTCCCACCCTGCTATCCTTTCTCTGATTAAGCTCTTAACAGAGTGAAACATGTTGGAGGAAAAAGGAGCAGGTGGAACAGCCACTGTACCAGGTAATACCGATATCTTCATATAAGGCTTTTATGATGGAGAAGCGGTTTCTTTGTCGGCGGGTTATGATTGTAGAGCAGGAAGCTAACCATTTGCAGTCTGCACCCAAGTTGTACTTCTTATGGATGCCCCTTGGTAATGACTAACGATCCCGTGTCCTGTACTGTAGACAAAGAAAATTGTAATTTCCTTTCTTGGCATACAGTGCAGGACATGGCCCCTTCTATCTGTTTTTATGGTCTCCCTAGTTGCTTGCTACAAAACTGAGGCTAACTGGGAGTGAGCAGGGTTATTCAGAGGGGATGCCCCTACCCACTTCTCTTTTTTTTTGCCAATATAAAATCACCCGTGTAAAACCTATTCTGATGACTAAA